AAACAGATGAAAAGATGCCATAGGGGAAATTCATCTGAAAACCATAAATAAAATATTTTATCACCATTAAATTGCCTCTAATCAGGGCTGGAAGAATAGCTTAAATGATAGAGCACCTGCCTAGCAAGTGCAAGGTCCTGAGTTCAAACCTCAGTACCACTTAATGCACCCCCTAATATAGCTGTAATGAAAAAGACAGAAAATAGCAAAAGTTAGTGACGATGTGAATCTGAATCCTCATATACTGCTGGCAGAAAGATTAAAGAGTTGTTGCCTTGGGAAACAGTCTGACAGTTCCCAGTTGTACTCCTTTGTATATTTCAAAGAGAAATAAGCATGCATGTTCATAGGAAAACTTGCACATAAATGTTCCAAGCAGCATTATTCGGGATAATGAAATGGGAGAGATAACCAGATGTCCACCAATGGAGGAATGGATAAATAAACTGTGTTACAATAAGGTAGACAGGGATCCTCATGGGAACAAAAGACAAGATATATTCTTGAGTCCTAAGTTCCTGTTCTGTAAGGGTAAAAACATGTCTCTTTCCTCTTTGAGGACAATGTTTGGAATGCACCTGTCTTTATCACCTTTTACTTCTAATCTTATTGCAAGGTCAAAACCCACCAGGTACAGGGTAGTGCCACAAGTTTCCAAAAATGAACTTGCTACTGATCCATATCTTACATGAGAACAGCTCCTTAAACCATCAGGAAGAAGCTTCTTAAAAATGCCATCCTTGCAACTAGTGGAAAACTATGACCCTGGACTACTGTAGCAATCCCATAGAAGGGCTTCTTCCTTGTGCTGATTTTGGGCACCATAACCCCCCTCTGTCAGTGCTGTATGCCCCTTTCCACCTCCAGTACCCTTTTCTTGAGAAAAAAACCTCCATTAAAGCCTGAGTCTTCATTCTCTTTATTTCTCAGATTTTATTCTATTATCACTTGAACAGAAATTCCTTCACATACTGCATCATACTTATGAAGTAGAGTTGTATTTGACAATGGAACAAAATGAAATATTTACACATAATACAATACAGATGACCTTGAAGACATTATGCTAAAAAGCTAGACAGAAAGGATCACATAAGATATGACTCCATTTATGTGAATGTCTACAGCATACAAATCTATAGAAACAAAAATTAGATTGCTAGGTGCTTAAGACTGGGATGGGGGATAGGGGTTATAGGGTATCTGGCTGTTTTTTAGAGAAATGACTTCAAATTCTAAAATTAATTGTGGTGATGGATTCACAACTCTGTAATTTGTCTAAAAGCCAATGTGTTGCACACTTTAAATGGCAAATTTCATGCCATATGAATTATATGTCAATAAAGCTGTTTTTAAAAAAGATAAAACATAACCTGAGCATATTCACACATCTATAATATTTCTGTATGTAAATGTCATATTTATAGTAAGCAAAACAAGAGCATTCTGGCTGACGTCTCAAATTATATTCCATTACCCTGTGGAACATTCTAGCTTCTTTCCAATGCTCATGTACAAATTCCCACTCCATCAGTGAGAAAAGTGGCGCCCTGCATTTCAATATACATGTGCAGCAATGTTAGAACTGTTACCGCAGACTCTCCTGTGATTCACCTTTATCATCTAGCACAGTGCCATGCTGATTTTTTAAATTTGCATACATTAAGTTTTACTTTCTGTGCTTTAAAGTTCTATGGGTTTTGACAAATGCATGATGTTCTGTATCCATTATTCTGTGTCACAGAGTCATTTCATTTCCCTAAAAATCCTGTGTTTCATATATTCAATCGTTTTCCTCTTCTGAGTGAGTCCCCAGAGACCACTCAAAGTTTCATTGTCTCCATAGGAGGAAACAGTGTATGTAGTTTTTTCAAAAAGGTTTCTTTCACTTTCCAAGGTACCTTTTAGGTTTCTACATCATTTTTTAAGACTTTATTTTTAGAGCAGTTTTAGGTTCACAGCAAAACTGAAAGGGAAATACAGATTCCCTCAGTACTCCTATTCTGACCACATGTACATCCTTCCTCCATTTTCAAAGTCCCTCACAAGAGGGATACATTTTTTCCACTTAAGAACACACATTTACACATCATCTGCTGACATTTAGCAGCTCCATAGCTCATTTCTTGTCATTGCTGAATAAGTCATTGTTTAGCTGTATCACAATCTGCTCACCCATTCACCTACTGAAGAATATCTTTCTTGGTCATTTGTAGATTTTGGCAATAATGAATACAATTGCTATTAACATTTGCAGGAAATTTTTGTGTAAACACAATTTAAAATCAGATGGGTAAATACCTCACAGTGGAATTCTTGGATCATAAGTTAAGACCAAGTTTAACTTTGTAAGAAACTGCCAGGCTGGCTTTTGTTTGGCTTTTGTGAAAATGTTTTGCTCTTTTTTTTCCTTTAACATGAATATTTAATTTTGACTTAGTCCATGTGCTAAAATGCTTAGGATAGAACTTTGAGCAAGATACATACTCAGTTCTCAGAAACCTGTAGTGGAAAAATATAAAGAGCAGTCTCTTTGGGTAAGTATTTAAAGTGCTTAAGTGCTGTAAGAGGTGTACAAGTGCATCCCGTTAATCCACTCTTCCTTAATTGTCAAAGGAGCTAATGGATAATTCCTCTTTTTCTTAATTTCTTTGTTTCTTTCACACAAAATCAGTACAACTTTCTAATTGATAATCTTTCTAGCTTCTGTGTTGTTTCCACTTCCTTCCCATATACTTCATACTGTGTGTATATTTTATTTTACTTTTTCTGAGGTACTGGGGCTTGAACTCAGGGCCTCTATTGAGCTACTCCATCAGCCCATTTTTTTATGAAGGGTTTTTTACTAGATAGGGTTTTTCAAACTATTTGTCCAGGCTGGCTTTGAAATGTGATCCTCTTGATCTCTGCCTCCTGAGTAGCTAGGATTACAGGCATGAGCCATGGGCGCCTGGCCTGTGTGTGTATTTTAAACATAATAGTCTGAAGAGCAGGTGTGAATCATCATTACGTTTTCTATGAAGCACAGAGTGTTGAAAACAAGCTTTCTCATTGCATTGACACAGATAATTTAGTTGTGCGACAAGTGTTTTAAAGCTGTTACTCTCTGGCTAAAATTTTTTCATATTTAGATTTCAAAAGGCACTTTATATCTGTGAGTGTATGCAGTGTGGATTTTGTGTTTTACAAAGCAATCTAATTGACCATACCTTGGTTTCTCAGAGGACAGTGGTTTGTTACTGGCAACAGCATTTAGAACACTCAGGTGTAACTCAATACATTTTCAAATCAGTTTATCTGGTTTATGAGGTGAGCAGTTTAAACAGTTCATTAATGCTTTTTGTTTCTTCTTTTAAATCTTTCTGGGGATAGGAGGAGAGAATCAGATGTGTGTGGGGGCCGGGAGGAAGTAGACTAGGAGTGTTAACACAAACAACTAGGAGTATCAGCAAACAGATGCCCAACTGGGCCGATATTTATTTCCCTTTCTTGCTTCCTGCTGCCTGTAGTGACCAATATAAAATTCAGCTTTTAAACACAGGTAATTTGTTTTGCCAGTCTCCTGCCTTTCTTAGAACTAGCGAACAGGTGCTAACTATGGTGTACAAGTTGTGTGTGTGTGTGTGCGTGTGTGAGTGTGTGTACACATGTGGGTGTGCTGAGCATTTAAAGAACATTTAAATAAGTGCTGCTTCTGAGGTTTTGGAATTCACTTTCTGTAGATTCTCTGAGCTCCTCTTTGAGTCAGCAGTTTAAGGCAGATTGTGGAGAATGAGCTTCCATAACCCTGTGGGCTAGCTATTCCTATCCAAGGAAGGTCCTGAACTCCAGAACAAAAGTTACTGGCCTTTGTTATGCAAGATACCTAGATAATGTAGGCAAGGCATTCCTTAATTAAAATGCATTTTCTCTGAGGGACATTTTTAGTTTAAGACAACTGATTTGGGTTCATTGCCCCATTTGTACTGAAACTATTTTAGGGAAGCAAGTCTTTAATACTTAAAGAAAAGAATTAAGGAAATAGTTCCCAACATCTAAGAACTTTGGTTTGACTGGCAGTTTTGTAAAAGCAGCTTGCCAATCTGTTTTTATAAGAATAAAGATCACTAGGTATAGAGAAACAGGCACTGTATGACCAATACTTAGCCAAAATACAGGGTGAGAAGCAAGGGGTGCTACTTCAGTTGGTTATGGGCAGGTGAAAGAAAACTAATGTAAATGGCACAAGTTACAGATGTAGCATCCAGCCCTTCAGCGTGTCAGGAGTATGCAACATTTAAGATGATTGCCTAAAAACACCTAATATTGATTTTTCTAATTGAAAATTGCAGGACATGTCTAAATGTGGCTCTTTGTCCTCATACCTTTGTCTTTGAATATTTTTTAACTCTCATAAGCTAGTAACTGAATTATGGTTTCCATTGTGAAAGGATAAGAGGAACTGATTTTGAAAATTGTTAATTCCATGGCAATTATTACATAGGCATGTAATTAATTCTTTTTCTAAATAGTGCATTAATGATTTTGGACCTGAATTATTCACAGTTTCAATCTTTGACATCACATGAATCATTCACGTCACAAACATGACCAGTAGGGGCTGAGAAAAGGCTTGCCCGAGGAATATTCACCATTAACATTGTGTTATCATTATGTTACTGCAAACTTGCCATTTCTTAATTGAGAATATACAATGTGAAAATGAGATGAAATTTAAAAGTTAAAGATTCCAAAATATATTCTAAAACATTGTTGAAAAGAACTTAATTTTTCATAGTTTAATAATAAAATAGCCCCTTTTATTGTGACAAAGAAATTACTGACCTTTAATTTAAAACTATAAAATGATCCATTAATTGCAATATTTGGAGCCTTTATGATGTCAAAAATCTATCCCTTTTTTTTCCTTTTTAAGAGAAAAGTAAAACCCAGAGGGAAAAAATGGTGTGTGAGTCTAGTATTAGGAAACACTAACCACTCTTAAAAATCCTGTCTTTCAGGAAAGAACGGTGACCATCAGAAGACAAACAGTAGGAGGATTTGGATTAAGCATAAAGGTAGCCTGCCTTTCCAGTCTATCCTTACAAAGGCCAAGCTGTAAGGGATTAACTTTTGTGCATTTCATGTTTGTTGATTTATAGCCAGACAAAAATAGCTACGTAGCAAACTCCTTAATAATTAGAGTGGGAGGTAAATTAGTAGGTACTCATGGTACTCTTGTTAATGGTGCTGGTGCAGTCAGTGATCACGAGACTTCCAAATTCTTTATGGTGAAGAATCCATCCTAGGACACATGGGTGTAAAGGGAGTTTGTTAAATGTTAGGTAGAGAGAAATTTCAGAAGGGAGCATGGTGGGGTGCAGGTGGAGTCTGCTGGCAGAGAGAGAAAGCTTCTCTTAGGTACTTTTAAAACTTAATCTATGGGAAGGGAGGAGCCAGATGATTTTCACCCAATAATCAATGAGTGGGGAGGGGCATGGGTGGTTCCCAGCCAGGTAAGGGTGGTCTGGGCCATCCCTGGGCAACCTACCTATGACTCCTGATCTTTCCCTACTTCTAGCCTGCCTTACTCTGGCCACCTAACAGCTTTTAATTTGCACAGTTTAGATAAGTTTTTAGGAACTTTACCTTACCTGTTATTGAATATAACTCATTAGCTTTCTTTATCTCATTTCTTCTAAAATATTCAATATGATGCTGCATGTGCATATCTTCCTCCAACCCACCAGTGTAGGAAGTGCTGACCTATGGTGAATGAGGCAAGAAGTTTCATGCTAATAACACCTGACAGCAGAGAAGGAAGAAGAAATCTCTCTTTTTACTTTAATTTTCACTTTTATTAAAGAAATCTCTGAATCTCATTTTACAATGCCAAGTTCACTTATAACATTTTAAACGCTTTATTTCTGTATCTCACTATTAGAACAAAAATCATACATATGTCTCAAGTACACAGTTCAAGAAATTTTAACCCACCTCAAGTTATATCCTCCTGGAAGGCAGAACTCTGAATTTTGTGATATTAGCTATAATCAACTTTATGATAAATGATCTAAAAAAGGGGATCAAGGTGTAATAGCATTGTGTTATTGGTGATGAAAATATTATTCTATGAAACATTAGTTTAGAAATATTTCTATATTTAATTTACCAGTCACCAACTAAGACCAAGGAGACTTACAGAACAACACTAAAATGTATTAACTATGTCAGGAGTTCCTTTATTCAGTACACAGAGTTTTGCTTTTATTTTTGATAGTTTTGTTTTTATTTTTAATTTTCTGATGCAATGGTTATTGATATTACTATGAATAATTTAAAGGAAACATAAAGACACCAGAGAGTCCAAAAACTAATTCCAACAGTGAAAGTTGATTTCATTTCAATTACACATTTTTCTTGCCTGTTACCAACTTCATTTCATTGTGGAGCCATATTAACACAATATTAATTTTGTGCCAGCTAGAAATTCTCTTTTTCTCTTTTGCTATCTACTTATAGTTTAAACTCAATAATCCAATGCTTTTTTTTTTTTTCCTGAAGTACCAGGGGTTGAACTCAGGGTTCCACATTTGCTAGGCAAGTGCTGTACCACTTGAGCTACTCTGTCAGTCATAGCTTAGATGTATTTTAAGGAATCAAGAAACTTGCTAAATGAATCTTTGCAGTCTATCAGTTTCATAATTTCAATTTAAACATATAATATGGTAATTTCTGAATTAAATAAGTATGTATTTATCATTCAAAATGACAGTCACAAAAGTCATATTTGAACTATGACAAGTGCCATACAATAGGACATTTGACAAAAAGGAAATTATTTTAAAACTCTTATAATACACATACAGTAACCAGAAAAACAAACATAGGTATTTTCATTTAGCAATAATATGATTTATCATTTTATGACTTTTCATTTGTCTTCCTCAATATTTTCCTATGAATTTTTCTATTTTAAAACTATCTTTCATTCTTGTTATGTTTATCAAAATACTATTTATTTATTTTAAATAGTAATATGATTATACAACTTCCCTTTTCTTTGTCACATGTGAATTGGATAAACTATTGTGCTTATTTATTAGTACTATTTTCTTTAGCTGTGAGAATTAAAAATTATACATGCAATTAACATTTAAAAACTTTCTGGGGAAGGCTCAGAATTACTGTTTTAATATTGAATCATTTATTGGTGACTTTCAGGAGCAATTTTGAGCCAATTATATAATTATGCACATAAATATGTAAACAAACTTTATCCTTATTTGCTTTAGTTACATACTGGAGGTTTTATAGTGAGAAATATTTATTAAAAACTTTTCCTGTCTCAAATCCAGATAACAGAAGGGAGATGGTGTGCTACAGAATTGAAAGAGTACTCACCAATAAAGTTAAGATTCTTCATACAGTTCTTGGGATGAATTTAACTTAACATGGAACATCTCAGTTTTACTTTCTAAAATAATCTCTCTTCAAAAGACTTGGCTGAAGTCTAACCAAATGCCCTTTTTGATCACAAAACATTAAAATAATCCAATGTGCACTAAAATACTCCAACAATTTACCCTCCTCTATATAGGCTGCAAATTGCTGCTGGGCTTCCTTCCCTCCTTTGGTAGCCACTGAGGGCAGCTACCGTGCTGTACTTGGTGCTATGATAGGCAGCAAATGCAAAGAAAATGCCTATGTGTGTTTTTTTCTAATATTTTATTTAATAACACCTTCACTGCTGGTTATGAGCAACATACTGACCCTGTGGCCACCATTGTCTTTAAATACCTGACGCCCCGAAACCTCTCTCGCTAGAGTCTGCTTCAGGGATGCAGGTTGGTAATGAAGTAAGTCAATCATTATGGCCATTTGTTTTCTCCATCTTACATAGGCAATGTTGAAACTTCTCATAGACAAATGTGCAGGTGGCTTAGAGGCTGAGGCAGTTCTGTGTGTGCCCCACAGTTTGTTCTAGACTTAGACATCTTCTATTGAAGAATTTATCTCAGAATGTGATGGAGAACACAGTAAGGAGGGGTCTTATCTCAAAAATTTCTGAAATTCCACTGAATGAAAGGAAAAGAATACATTTAGCAGAAATGAAATTTCATGGACTTAAATTTTTAGTATGATTTTTGATAAAAGCCATTTTTTTTCATATGTTGTCTCCTGCTTTTGCTGTATTGCTTTTCTTTTTGAAAACTTAAGAAGCTTTTGACTTGCATTACTGGGAATTTCATAGAATATCTGAGACTTTTTCAAAAGTGAAACCTACAGTTTTTAATTATGTGTAATTATATTAGCCATTCAATGTGGAATACAGTCATCTAGAAAGAGTTTGGGCATAAATTACTTTAGACTTATGTAGGAATTACTGATTTATGTTTTTAAACTCATTTGTCTTTTATATAACTAAATTCTCATCATTTTATAATAAAATTGTTTTCCTTGAGAAGGTGAAAACCAAAATTACCAATATAACCATATCTACTCTAAATAAGATCAAAACAGAAACCATAATAGCAACCTCTAAGTGTTGAGGCAGGGCATCCTAGCCAGTTCCGTGCCACACGCAGGGCTGCCACACTTGCTTCTATGTTCCCATTGCCTGGTTTAGATGATCTGCTTGTTCTTAGTTCCTCTAGGGAGTGTCCATCCCTAGATCATGCTCTTTTCTCTGCTTTCTTGTCTCATATTCTTTTCATTTCTATTAAAAAAGTCATGTAGGTTCAAATTGCTACTGGGCTGAGTGGTATAAGAAAACAGTAGTTCAGAAGATGTCAAGCCCTTCTTGCATCTGAAAAGAGAACTGGACAGAAACACAAATTGTAAAACAGTAGCAAAATTTTATTGAAAGAAAAGGAAAGAAAGAGTAAGAATAAAGCACTGCAAGAAAAGAAGTAGTAGGCTCTGCCAGGTGGCACAGAAGGATTGATTTATTTGTTTAAGCCTAATGTATAAGTTGTAAGGTGGGAAAAATCTGGGGAGTCCTTAGGAAGGGACTAAGATGGAGGGCAGGTTTAACTAACATAGCCTCATCATATAACCTGGGACATTCCTCTCAATTGCTTATGCTAATTTTCTGGTTTATAATTGTATGAGATGTGACCAAAATTCTTAAGGTCTTAAGTAGAGAACTTTGCCTAAGAGGTCAAAGTGGAGGCCATGCAAGCCCAGCAGTAAAAATATTTTTGACTGCCAGGGGATTTATAACTCAGAGGGGATTTATTGCTTTAGAGATGTGTCAGGGCCATGCTGGGGAGTAGGATCTGTTTAAGAGAAGGCGGTCCCACAGCGAGTTATTTCCCCTTTACTAGTCTGCCTCAAAATGAATAACTGAACCAGATAAAAGAGAAGCCTGGAGGTGTGATACACACACATTCATACTTGGTTCTCTGTTGTCTTTAAATGCTCTTTTGGCTACTAGTCCAAAAAGGCAGAGCAGTATCTCCCTTCTTTTCTGATCAGAGCCTCTTCAAGTTGCTGGGAGCTTTGCCCAGGAAGCTTTGCTGGGAACAATTTTTTTTGTTGGAGCTATTTTTAGCCTTGTGTTGTCTTTCAGAAGCATTTTCAGACATGCTGTAACATTGGGTCATCTTTGACCATGATCTCCTGGTTGTTTTCATTATTTACTTTTTCTTGCTTAAAGCATCTCTCAAAAAGAACAAACTTGTGAATTTTTCCCTTTGTTTTGTTTTTTGTTTGCCTCTCAATAGAAAATCAAGGCTTTCTGTTTACTTTTTCTCATTTTCCACAAAAGCTATATCTAGACAAAAAGACCTCTAAAATATACATTCATAATCACATATTCTTCTCTCTGTTTTCAGACTGACCTTTCTTCCTTTGAAGTGATCAGACTCACCAGTTTCCTTGTGAAGGGATCCTGCACCACATGTTTCCTGGCAGTCTAGCTGGCTTTTCTCCCAGCTCCAAGCTCCTTTCTCCCCCTGTGGCCTTTCTGGGAGACTATGGCTTTCAAGGGCTCAGCCCTCCATTCTGGACCATCCAGAAAGTCACAATTTCTGTAAATAACTTTATTGTCTCCCACTGTGCAGCTGCAGATATC